AACCCAGCAAAAAACAAAACAAAACAAACCACCTATCACAGTTATGAGACAATTAGAAATTTGAACACAGGATATGTTATATTAGGAAATTAGGGGCCGGCCTGTTAGCTCAGTTGGTTAGATCACAGCCATATATAACATCAAGGTCGTGTTCAGATCCCCATACTGGCCAGCACCAAAAAAAACCAAAAGAAATTATTTAAAAAATTTTAAGTGTTTCGTTAGGTTTCCCGTTGTCCTCACCTCAAGATTACAGCTGGAAATTCTTTCAAAAGACAATTTAGAAATATAAACTGAAATATTAATGAATGATATGATATGACATATGACATTTTATTATATTTCGTTACAGTTTTTTCTATACAGATATTTACATTTATATTTATTTTCCTAGTTGAGATCTTATTTTATATCAAGTTTGGTATTGGAGCAATATTTTTTTTTATTATTGATTATGCATATTCATGGGGTACAAAGCTGACCCTCACCACCTGTGCCCAAGATGTGATGATGATCAGATCAATACTATCCGCATGCCCATTACCACAAATTGCAGTTATTCCCCATGTCCCACACCTAATTAATCCTTGACCTTCCCACCCCACTACCTCACCCCCTTGCAGCCTGAGGTATGCTCTCTCTCTGCAAGTCCAACATATCTCTGTGGCCTTTCCTTCCTTCTTTCTCTCTTAGCTCCCAATTATGACTGACGACATGCAGTATTTTTTCCTCTGTGCCGGGCTTATTTAATTTTCTCCAAGCTCATATGTGTTGCTGCGAATGGCAGAAATTCATTCTTTTTTATGGCAGAGCAGTATTATACGGTGTATATGAACCACATTTTCCTTATCTAGTCATCCATCAACTGACATTTAGGCTGATTCCATATCTTGGCTATTGTAAACAGAGCTGCGATGAACATGGGAGTGCAGGTATCCCTTCAACATGATGATTTCCACCCCTTTGGGTATAAACGTAGGAGTGGGATTTCTGGATCATATGGTACATCTATCTGTAGTTGTCTGAGAAAACTTCATACTGTTTTCTGTGGTGGTTGTACTAATTTACATTCCCATCAACAGTGTAGGAGTGATGCCCTCTCTCCACATCCTTGCCAGCATTTGTTATTCTCTGTCTTCTGGATTATAGCCAGTCTCACTCAGGTGAGAGGATATCTCAATGTGTTTTGTTTTGTTTTTTTTTTTTTTTTTAAAAGATGACCGGTAAGGGGATCTTAACCCTTGACTTGGTGTTGTCAGCACCACGCCCAGCCAGTGAGCGAACCGGCCATCCCTATATGGGATCCGAACCCGGGGCTTTGGTGTTATCAGCACCGCACTCTCCCGAGTGAGCCACCGGGCCGGCCCCTCAATGTGGTTTTAATTTGCATTTCCCTGGTGATTAGTGATATTGAGCATTTTTTTAAGTACCCATTTGTATGTCTTCCTTTGAAAAATGTCCATTCAGCTCCTTTGCCCATTTTTTAATTGTTATTTGTTTTTTTACTGGATAGTTGCTTGAGTTCCTTGTACATTCTGGATATAATCCCCTGTCAGATGTACAGTTTGCAAATATTTTCTCCTATTCTGTAGGTTGTCGTTTCACTCTGCTGATTGTTTCCTTTGCTGTGCAGAAGCTTTTTAGTTTGATATAATCCCATTTATTCACTGGAGGGATACTTCTTAAGTGTTTAAAGTACAGTGTCGAAGGGCCCTGGGACAGTAATGCCATCGTATTAGTCTATTTCTCTTGCTTATAACAAAATACACAGAACTGGGTATTTTATAAAGAAAATGAGATTTACTGCTTACAGTTTCAGAGGCTGGGAGTCCAAAGTCCAGGGAACTCATCTGGTAAAGGCTTTCTTTGGTGGTGACTTCAGTGACAGCAGGGTATCACATTGTGAAAATGGTGGAACAGAGAGAGCAGAGACTAATCTCCTCATTCACTCTCTTTTCTTTCTTTCTCTTTTTTTTAAAATTTTATTTTGTCGATATACAATGTGGTTGATTATTGTGGTCCATTACCGAAACCTCCCTCCCCCCTCCCTCTCCCCCCTCCCACCCAACAATGTCCTTTCTGTTTGCTTGTCGTATCAACTTCAAGGAATTGTAGTTGTTATGTCTTCTTCCCCCCACCCCGGTTTGTGTGTGTGTGTGTGTGTGTGTGTGTGTGTGTGTCATTCACTCTCTTTTCAAAGCCCTACAAACCACACCCCTGACCACCATTTTTATTTTTATTTTTATTTTTTTTAAAGATGACCAGTAAGGGAATCTTAACCCTTGACTTGGTGTTGTCAGCATCACACTCTCCCAAGTGAGCCACAGGCTGGCCCTCCTGACCACCATTTTTAATCCATTCACTACTGCACAGTTCTACAATCCAATCACCTCTTCAAGGCCCCACCTTTCAATTGCCATGATAGGATTTCCCACCCTCTTAACAGTTCCAGTGGAGGCCAAGTTTCTAATACATAAAACTTGAGGAACACAATTCAAGCTTCAATGAGTTTGGGAGGGACATTCAATCCACTACAGCCACCAAACATCAAACCAGGACTTTTTTTTTTTTTTTTTTAAAGATGACCGGTAAGGGGATCTTAACCCTTGACTTGGTGTTGTCAGCACCACGCTCAGCCAGTGAGC